TGTTCGTTTATTTTTGTAGTTGGTTGTTTTGTTGGCTCAATTTGTTGTGACATCTCAAGTTGGTGTTTACTCGCAGCTGGTGGAATTTCTTGTTCTGTTGGTATAACTTTACGGTCTATTTCGTCGTTGTGTACTTTGTTGTTTGGTTTGATTATCTCTTTGTGTTTCTCTTCAACTTCGTTTTCTTTGTCTTGTTCAGAGTTTTGTTGTTGTGGAATTTGTTCTTCTTTCTTCAAATCAGCAACACTTTGTATTGCGTTAAGAATCAACTTCCCATTCTTTTTGATCGCCACATCTTCTTCTTTGTTTAACACCTCTTTGTCACTATTCATCTTCACATTTGGTGTAATTTCAATCTTTTGTTCTTCAATTTTAAGTTTAATTTCTTCCTTATTGATTTCAACTAATTTTAGTTCTTCTTTTTGTTTTTGTTCGACTTCCGAATGTTCAGCTTCTTGTATTTCTTTTAATACAGTTTCTTGTTGTGAAATTTCGTCATTCACTTTCACATCTACTTCTGGTTGTTCATTTTTTTCTTCTTTTGGTTTTTCATCACTTTGTGGTGTTGTTGTTTGTTTTGTATCTTCATCTTTATTATTATATTTATTATATTCGTCTTTGTCTTCAATAACTCCAATTTGTTTGTTATTTTTTGTCATTCTCTTTCTTCCTTTTGGAAGTAGTACATTTTTTCTCGACGGACATTTCAACAGATCATCTTCTATGTCAACCTGATTGGATGTATAAACATGTGTTGCTTTTTCATGTTTGTAAAGTAATAATAATTCTAAATTTTTTCGTTTTTGTAAAAAATCAATGTTTGGAGATAAAACATTGACATTTTTTTGATAAGTATTTATGGTAATATCGTTTTCTTGTGCTTCTTTAATTGCTTTCTCTTGTGCTTCTTGCAATGATTTCGCTTCAGCTTCATTTTTAGCATCTTCTTCATTCTTATTCACTTCTTGTGGTTGTGCATCTTCTTCATTCTCTTTCACTTCTTGTGGTTGTGCATCTTTTTCATTCTCTTTCACTTCTTGTGGTTGTGCATCTTTTTCATTTTCTTTCACTTCTTGTGGTTGTGCATCTTTTTCATTCTTATTCACTTCTTGTGGTTGTGCATCTTCTTCATTCTCTTTCACTTCTTGTGGTTGTGCATCTTTTTCATTCTCTTTCACTTCTTGTGGTTGTGCATCTTCTTCATTCTTATTCACTTCTTGTGGTTGTGCATCTTTTTCATTCTTATTCACTTCTTGTGGTTGTGCATCTTCTTCATTCTCTTTCACTTCTTGTGGTTGTGCATCTTTTTCATTCTCTTTCACTTCTTGTGGTTGTGCATCTTTTTCATTTTCTTTCACTTCTTGTGGTTGTGCATCTTTTTCATTCTTATTCACTTCTTGTGGTTGTGCATCTTTTTCATTCTCTTTCACTTCTTGTGGTTGTGCATCTTTTTCATTCTCTTTCACTTCTTGTGGTTGTGCATCTTTTTCGTTTTTATTCACTTCTTGTGGTTGTGCATCTTCTTCATTCTCTTTCACTTCTTGTGGTTGTGCATCTTCTTCATTCTCTTTCACTTCTTGTGGTTGTGCATCTTTTTCATTCTCTTTCACTTCTTGTGGTTGTGCATCTTCTTCATTCTCTTTCACTTCTTGTGGTTGTGCATCTTTTTCATTCTCTTTCACTTCTTGTGGTTGTGCATCTTCTTCATTTTCTTTCACTTCTTGTGGTTGTGCATCTTTTTCATTCTCTTTCACTTCTTGTGGTTGTGCATCTTTTTCATTTTCTTTCACTTCTTGTGGTTGTGCATCTTCTTCATTCTCTTTCACTTCTTGTGGTTGTGCATCTTTTTCATTCTCTTTCACTTCTTGTGGTTGTGCATCTTTTTCATTTTCTTTCACTTCTTGTGGTTGTGCATCTTTTTCATTCTCTTTCACTTCTTGTGGTTGTGCATCTTTTTCATTCTCTTTCACTTCTTGTGGTTGTGCATCTTCTTCATTCTCTTTCACTTCTTGTGGTTGTGCATCTTTTTCATTCTTATTCACTTCTTGTGGTTGTGCATCTTTTTCATTCTCTTTCACTTCTTGTGGTTGTGCATCTTTTTCGTTTTTATTCACTTCTTGTGGTTGTGCATCTTTTTCATTCTCTTTCACTTCTTGTGGTTGTGCATCTTCTTCATTCTCTTTCACTTCTTGTGGTTGTGCATCTTCTTCATTCTCTTTCACTTCTTGTGGTTGTGCATCTTTTTCATTTTCTTTCACTTCTTGTGGTTGTGCATCTTCTTCATTTTCTTTCACTTCTTGTGGTTGTGCATCTTTTTCATTCTCTTTCACTTCTTGTGGTTGTGCATCTTTTTCATTCTCTTTCACTTCTTGTGGTTGTGCATCTTTTTCATTCTCTTTCACTTCTTGTGGTTGTGCATCTTTTTCGTTTTTATTCACTTCTTGTGGTTGTGCATCTTCTTCATTCTCTTTCACTTCTTGTGGTTGTGCATCTTTTTCATTCTTATTCACTTCTTGTGGTTGTGCATCTTTTTCATC